TTTTTTCTCTACCGGGAATGGAACTCAAGGCCTCACGCTTGCCTGGCAGGTGCTGTGCCACTGAGCTACATCCCCAGCCCTAGTCTGTAAATTTTTAAATTCTGTTCTGAAATGCAAAGCAGCAGTGGCCAGTGCCAGTTATATTTGATTGAATCTGTGTCTGTCAGCTGAGGCAATTCCCTTTCCCTTTCCAATGCCATTGACAGTGTCTTGAGACATTTTTCACCATCATGATACAAGGCTGCTACTAGCACATGTGGGGGTAGCCACAGATCTGCTAACTGTGCTATGGTGCATAGGCCCTGACAGCAAATAATTGCCTGGTCTGAAATGTCTGAAATGTCAAGGTTGAGAAACCCTGCATTAGACCAAAATGAAAGTTTGATTATTCTACCTTAATCTTCGCTTAAGGATACACATACATGCTCACCCTATTCAAAGTATGGCTCTGATTTAATGGGAGTGTTTTCTTAGGGTAGCTTATGGTTGGGTGTGACTTTATAGTGATAATTCATAGTTATGCCACATATATACATTTTTCTGTGTTTGGTTAGATGTAACTAAAGAAGTATGTAGTGTGTGTGTGTGTGTGTGTATTTGTGAATGTGTGTGTAGCCTGAAGTTACGCATCTTTCTCTATTGAATGTTCCTAAGTAGGAATGTCTTTAGAATTATCCTGTAGAGTACTCTGGAATATTCTATTACTATTAATAAATTGAATTATAAACTCCCATTAGTTAATTTTGTTGATCTGAAATTAGGACCCTTAGAATTGGGAGTACTTTCCAAATTTGTGAAAGTTTATTTTAGTATTCCTGACTCTTTAAGATTTGGCTCAGAGGGCCGGGGATTTAGCTCAGTGGTTTCGCCACCTGCTGTGCAAGCTCAAGGACCCGAGTTCGATCCCCGGTACCAAAAAAAAAGATTCGACTCAGAACACATTTGGGTTATGGCAGATACATTGAGTGAGAATACGTTTAATTGCTTTCAATGCATCTGCCAAGAGAGAGCATGCTCTTCTACCATCAGACTAATTTTTAAGATTGGTTTTTCGTGTGTGTGTGTGTGTGTGTGTGTGTGTGTGTGACAAAAATTAAGTTGTTTCATGGGATCAAAGGGAAGGATGGAGAGAGTAGAAATGGACATTCTGATAGGACTTTTAATTTTTATTACCACTGTTTTGAGAATTGCATTGATTTTAATGATCATGAATAAGGACAATGTTCATTATAATCACACCACAGTAAAATTAAGTGGATTAAATCATTCCATAAGTTAAAAAACTAACATTTTATATGAAAGATTTTCTATACGAAAGAGGACTCATGGATATGTGTTCTTTATATAGAATATTTTTACCAAAAGTTTCTATGAAATTGTGCATCTAAACTGCATAATTCTCACACAAGAAGCTGGGAAAGCACTCACTTGGATTTTGTCTCTGTTTATTTCACTTTTTAGCTGTTTTTACCAGGGTAGGAAGTAAAGGATCTGAAGTGGCAGATATTCAGACAATACCTTTTGTTTGGCTTTGTGGTGTCTCATGCCCCCTTTTTTTTGGCTAAAATTTTGTTTAGACTAAATATAACTTGTACCTGTAGAAATCTGGACATTGTGGTTTAAAATGGAAAATAACTGAAGAAACCTGAGATTCTAAATGTGCCACAAATGTTCTCAGATTTGTCAAAAACCTTTATAAGAGTGCTGTAGCTGACCCAAAATGGAAACACTATCAATAACACTGCTTTTCAGTAGCTACGGTAGTTTTGTAACTTTATTATATACAACCTCCTATTTCTTTGGAAAGTCAGCCATCTATGGTTTTTAATTTCTATGTTTGAAAATATCAACCTTGTGACATTTTTAAAGGACAAATCTTTATTAAGAGATTTATTTCCCCCACAGAATCTAAGGAGGAAAAATGAGGCCAGTCCACTGAAAACTCGAGCAAATGTTTATTGTGTTGTATAAATACTTTCCCACCAGAACCAGGTAATGTCTACTCTTTGTTTATAGAGTTCCAAAGATCAGTAGCTGTGAGACTCTTGTGGAAACTCAAGGACAAGCATGTTGAGGAGTAAGGACTGATCGCATTGCTACACTTTTTATTTCTTCATGTTCCCAGTACAGAGATTGACTCTCAGATTATATGGCTTTTGAGCAAGCACACATCAGAGATGAAAGTGAGTTAACAATTTCAAGGCCCCTGCAGCCTCTTATCAGTGCATGTAATGAAGTCAGCAGTGAATATAACTAGCCATTTTCACAACTTGCTACTGTAGTATGCTCAGGAGAGGGTGAGGCAAGTGGAAGGGAGGAACTGACCCATCCCCAAGCTGTAGCATTCAAACGGTCTGAGCAGTCTCTACCCTTGCCCTTGGCCTTCCAGGACCATCTGTGTCTGCCCTTCCAGAGAGGCTCGCTTGGTTTTAAGGTTGAGCTAGTGACACTGACTAGAGGGGTGGTATGGAAATTTGCTGAGAAGCTGAAAATTTTGCACTGCCTTAAATTATTTTGCTTAAAGTTGCAAAATACATGTGGGTGCCCTGTGGCAAAAGAGTCTGGTGACCTTAACCTAATTATAGCCTTGCCAGTGATGAGGAAAAGTGGAGGGAGGGCTTTTTAAAAAAAATCTATTTAGCAGGACTTTCTGAGTCCTTGAAACTAGGGAGGTAAAACATATTCCACTCATTACTATACAGCCTCTTTGAAAGTCCTGGAAACCAACTGACTGGGATTCTGAAGCCCAGAATGTCTATAAACTCCTGAAATTACAAGGCCACAATATGTAGGTTGAGCACCATAAAATTCCTATTTTTTAAGCTGAAGGAAACTTGAATCTATAGGCATTTTTCTTCCCCTTATAAGAAAATGGATACCGCTTTATCCTCAGTCTTGGCTCGTCTTTTGGCATTTTTATGTATACCTTAGAGATGATAGATTGAAACACATGCATGAATGCAAAGCTTATTCAAACAACCCTGTTCATCACTGCAATAAAAAATATATTTTTGCTTATATCTTTTGATTTCCTTTTTTCTGGTGCCAGCATTTGTGATTTCCTGTAACACCTAAAGAATACATAACATTATAAATTGACATAATATCTGTGAGCATTTGAGTAATAGCAAAAGACCTTGACTCTTTTAAAGCACAAAAGAAGAATTACATTTTATGGTCACTTATTTACTTGCTTCCTCTGTGTTCCTATTGATCCCTACGTTGTACTAAACTTCATACTGATTTTGCTTTTTGGTTGAAGCTGTGGGATCTAATCAATGCTGCAAAGCTATTTGGGAGTTTTATAGAATAATCCCCAAATATATTGACCTGTCTCTTCCTGCTTCTATATAATTAGACTTTCTCCAGATACTTGTCATTTTTAAATGTATGTTTCACACAGCATCTAAGGTAGAGAAAATCAGGAGCTAGATAATGTCTGTTTTGCTCTGCACCACAAGAGAAACAAAAGATGGTGATTTTAAAAGGTTTAACCAAAATGGAAAACAAAGAGGAAATCATGGTTTCAATTGAAAAAGATCACTGGGAGCAGTCTCAGAAGAGGTCCCTAAGCAGAGGCCAAGGAAGAGACTGCTGTGCTTAAATGCACAGTCCTAAGAATGGAACCTTTTTGTCATCCAGTCATTATGGAAAAGGATGAGAAGATGCCAGAGGAGGCAGTGTGAGAGGCAGATTGTGAGATGCTCAGGAGAGGACAGAGAGACACCTGCTGACCACTTGTGGCCCTTGGCAGTCTCGGGACCCCCATTTCCTGCCCTTCTTCAGGCAGTGGTTTCCTTGGTCACTGAGCCTTATGAATCTGGCACCTCAGTCTCATATCCATCTATCAGCTGCGCTTGGGCACATAGTCCCAAAGATTCTTATTAAATCTTCTGTCATGATGACACCCTGATAGCAGGAAGTGTCACCTTGAACCTGACCTGTAGAACAGGGTCGTCACATGCTATACATAGTTGAAGTGAGCTTTAGTCTCCTGCCCCCACTATTCCATCCATATCAGGCTCTTGTATTCATTTTTACTTAAGCAGGCTTAGATGTATTTCACCTGTGTTCTAGAATACAAGAAGACACACTTACGTGTTTGTGCATGCATGTGCACACACACACGCACGCTTTACGTTGTTTATGCCTATGGGAAAGAGGTTGATGGTTGAATGCAGATGGGTGGGGAGAAGCAGAAGGTGCCTTAAATTTGGCTTGGCTCCCACTTCCTTATGTATTTCCTTCATGTACCTCTGTCACTTTACAGATGTAACCATGTCTTTTCCAGGTTGTACCTTTATCATCAGCAAGAACTCTCATAAATGTAGCAAATGTGACTTTTTTAGAAATGCAGAATAGAAGATAGACCTTGGAGAAATCTGATAACAGTATGTAAATATCCTTTGTGGAAGTGGTAGAACCTTCCGGTAGGAAGCCCCTTAGGTGATAGCTACAGGAGGACTCATAGATGAAGAATATTAGTTTCTCCAGCAAATTCCATATTCATGGAAGGAAGAAATCAATCTGTCACAATTTCTCATGCAGTCTTCAGCACGAATCTTACAGGCTTCCTCGTTGGCAGAGCATCATAGACAATCCCCTCATAATTTATAGGACTGATTGTCCTATAATTTAGGGTGATTGATGGCTGCTGGTATCCCTGTTGGTCAGAAACACTAGAGAGAAGGGGAGTGAACAGGCACAGATAGCTCCATTGAAAACCCTACTTAGCCTTTAACAAAAGTGTGGAATATTATTAGAACTCTAATTAACATACAGCATAGTTGGCCTGGAAAACATTGGGAAAGAGCTTTCTCTTTGGTCTCTTTTTTAATTCCATTATTGCACGTTG